AAATTGGTAACGTATTTGATGATGCGTTTTTTGATGATAAAACTCTTGTGGTATTTGCTGGACGTTTGCTAAACTTTTTCAACATTATAATTTTAAATCATATATAATTGAGAAGTCATATTGAAGTAATATATAGGCTGTGTGCTGTGTAGTATAAGTAAATAAGTAATAGTGAAAGTAAACTTTGCTTACTTTCCAATTTTTAAAAATTAGTTTAACGGTTGAATTATATTTGATTGCAAATTACCACCTGCAAGCTTACGAACATTCGTATGTATTTTTCTTAATATTTCATTGATCTTTGCACTTTTTCGAAACACTTAGAAAAACGCGAATAAGCAGTAGCCCCTGTGGCCTAATGGATAAGGCATCGGCCTCCTAAGCCGGGGATTGTGGGTTCGAGTCCCACCAGGGGTATTGTTAATTTTTCATAGGATTTTACATCTAAATCCGTTTGCGGTAATCTAAGCCTGATGTGTACCTTGATAGCGAAGCTAAGTTGTATCAAAGGCATTTAAATATAGGATCCTGCAAAAAATTATCTGTACCCCTGGTGGGACTCGAACCCACAATCCCCGGCTTAGGAGGCCGATGCCTTATCCATTAGGCCACAGGGGCTGCATGCTGTTCACCTTGATAGCATAGCTAGGTTGTATCAAAGGCATTTGAATATAGAACCGTGTAAAAAAGGAACAGTACCCCTGGTGGGACTCGAACCCACAATCCCCGGCTTAGGAGGCCGATGCCTTATCCATTAGGCCACAGGGGCTGCCTGCTGTCATTCTTGATCGCGAAGCTAGGTTTTATCAAAGGCATTTAAATATAGAACCGTGTAAAAAAGGAACAGTACCCCTGGTGGGACTCGAACCCACAATCCCCGGCTTAGGAGGCCGATGCCTTATCCATTAGGCCACAGGGGCTGCATGCTGTTCACCTTGATAGCATAGCTAGATTGTATCAAAGGCATTTAAATATAGAACTGTGTAAAAAAGGAACAGTACCCCTGGTGGGACTCGAACCCACAATCCCCGGCTTAGGAGGCCGATGCCTTATCCATTAGGCCACAGGGGCTGCCTGCTGTCATTCTTGATTGCGAAGCTAGGTTTTATCAAAGGCATTTAAATATAGAACCGTGTAAAAAAGGAACAGTACCCCTGGTGGGACTCGAACCCACAATCCCCGGCTTAGGAGGCCGATGCCTTATCCATTAGGCCACAGGGGCTGCATGCTGTTCACCTTGATAGCATATCTAGGTTGTATCAAAGGCATTTAAATATAGAACTGTGTAAAAAAGGAACAGTACCCCTGGTGGGACTCGAACCCACAATCCCCGGCTTAGGAGGCCGATGCCTTATCCATTAGGCCACAGGAGCTGCCTGCTGTCATTCTTGATTGCGAAGCTAGGTTTTATCAAAGGCATTTAAATATAGAACCGTGTAAAAAAGGAACAGTACCGCTGGTGGGACTCGAACCCACAATCCCCGGCTTAGGAGGCCGATGCCTTATCCATTAGGCCACAGTGTTCACCTTGATAGCATAGCTAGATTGTATCAAAGGCATTTAAATATAGAACTGTGTAAAAAAGGAACAGTACCCCTGGTGGGACTCGAACCCACAATCCCCGCTTAGGAGGCCGATGCCTTATCCATTAGGCCACAGGGGCTGCCTGCTGTCATTCTTGATCGCGAAGCTAGGTTTATCAAAGGCATTTAAATATAGAACCGTGTAAAAAAGGAACAGTACCCCTGGTGGGACTCGAACCCACAATCCCAGGCCTAGGCGGCCGATGCTTTATCCATTAGGCCATAGGGGCTGCCTGCTGTTCACCTTGATAGCATAGCTAGGTTGTATCAAAGGCATTTAAATATAAAACTGTGTAAAAAAGGAACAGTACCCCTGGTGGGACTCGAACCCACAATCCCCAGCTTAGGAGGCCGATGCCTTATCCATTAGGCCACAGTGGTCACCTTGATGGGATAGCTAGATTGTATCAAAGGCATTTAAATATAGAACTGTGTAAAAAAGGAACAGTACCCCTGGTGGGACTCGAACCCACAATCCCCGGCTTAGGAGGCCGATGCCTTATCCATTAGGCCACAGGGGCTGCCTGCTGTCATTCTTGATTGCGAAGCTAGGTTGTATCAAAGGCATTTAAATATAGAACCGTGTAAAAAAGGAACAGTACCCCTGGTGGGACTCGAACCCACAATCCCCGGCTTAGGAGGCCGATGCCTTATCCATTAGGCCACAGGGGCTGCCTGCTGTCATTCTTGATGCGAAGCTAGGTTGTATCAAAGGCATTTAAATATAGAACCGTGTAAAAAAGGAACAGTACCCCTGGTGGGACTCGAACCCACAATCCTCGGCTTAGGAGGCCGATGCCTTATCCATTAGGCCACAGGGGCTGCCTGGTGTTCACCTTGATAGCATAGCTAGGTTATATCAAAGGCATTTAAATATAGAACCGTGTAAAAAAGGAACAGTACCCCTGGTGGGACTCGAACCCACAATCCCCGGCTTAGGAGGCCGATGCCTTATCCATTAGGCCACAGGGGCTGCCTGCTGTCATTCTTGATTGCGAAGCTAGGTTGTATCAAAGGCATTTAAATATATAAACGTGTAAAAAAGGAACAGTACCCCTGGTGGGACTCGAACCCACAATCCTCGGCTTAGGAGGCCGATGCCTTATCCATTAGGCCACAGGGGCTGCATGGTGTTCACCTTGATAGCAGAGCTAGGTTATATCAAAGGCATTTAAATATAGAACCGTATAAAAAAGGAACAGTACCCCTGGTGGGACTCGAACCCACAATCCCCGGCTTAGGAGGCCGATGCCTTATCCATTAGGCCACAGGGGCTGCCTGCTGTCATTCTTGATTGCGAAGCTAGGTTGTATCAAAGGCATTTAAATATAGAACCGTGTAAAAAAGGAACAGTACCCCTGGTGGGACTCGAACCCACAATCCTCGGCTTAGGAGGCCGATGCCTTATCCATTAGGCCACAGGGGCTGCATGGTGTTCACCTTGATAGCAGAGCTAGGTTATATCAAAGGCATTTAAATATAGAACCGTGTAAAAAAGGAACAGTACCCCTGGTGGGACTCGAACCCACAATCCCCGGCTTAGGAGGCCGATGCCTTATCCATTAGGCCACAGGGGCTGCCTGCTGTCATTCTTGATCGCGAAGCTAGGTTTTATCAAAGGCATTTAAATATAGAACGTGTAAAAAAGGAACAGTACCCCTGGTGGGACTCGAACCCACAATCCCCGGCTTAGGAGGCCGATGCCTTATCCATTAGGCCACAGGGGCTGCATGGTGTTCACCTTGATAGCAGAGCTAGGTTATATCAAAGGCATTTAAATATAGAACCGTGTAAAAAAGGAACAGTACCCCTGGTGGGACTCGAACCCACAATCCCCGGCTTAGGAGGCCGATGCCTTATCCATTAGGCCACAGGGGCTGCCTGCTGTCATTCTGATCGCGAAGCTAGGTTTTATCAAAGGCATTTAAATATAGAACCGTGTAAAAAAGGAACAGTACCCCTGGTGGGACTCGAACCCACAATCCCCGGCTTAGGAGGCCGATGCCTTATCCATTAGGCCACAGGGCTGCATGCTGTTCACCTTGATAGCATAGCTAGGTTGTATCAAAGGCATTTAAATATAGAACTGTGTAAAAAAGGAACAGTACCCCTGGTGGGACTCGAACCCACAATCCCCGGCTTAGGAGGCCGATGCCTTATCCATTAGGCCACAGGGGCTGCCTGCTGTCATTCTTGATTGCGAAGCTAGGTTGTATCAAAGGCATTTAAATATAGAACCGTGTAAAAAAGGAACAGTACCCCTGGTGGGACTCGAACCCACAATCTCAGGCTTAGGAGGCCGATGCTT